TTTTTTTTTTGAGAGGCGTGCGAAACGGAGTGAGATGCTGTGTCCGACGGAACGGACGCCTGCTACTAGGCGTTTTCGTAACTCAAAACCAAAAGTAATCATGGCCGCTAAGCGTTTTGGTAACTCAAAACCAAAAGTAATCATGGCCGCCGAACACAACGACGTTGCATTATCAGTTGACAGACAAACCACCGTACTCCCTAAACATAACATTATTAGGAGATTATTTTTCAATACTCCCCAAAACATAGACAAACAGATGATTTTCAGAACACAAAGGACAAGTATGATTCTCAATGTGCTGTGAGAAGAAATTTGTTAAGATGCCCACCTCTCTGAAAATCCTCTCTATGCATCTTTGGAGATCATCAATAGATGCTTACAATTGGTTTTCTTTCTTTCTTTGGACACAAGCTCAATGCAACCATTTAGCGCCACTTGACCATCAGAGCAAGTTATTACTCAAACAAAAAGTAGATTTCGTCAGCACATCCAAATCAAAGTTCAATGACAACCAGTCCACAGCAAAGAGGTCACAATTCAATCTTTAGATTCAATTTACGACTTGATCCTGACTAAACTGAAATACATGACAGATTCAGCAACCTGGCAATGACAACAACACTGCAGCAACCTGCAGGCTGCAGCCGGCAGAGAGGGGAACCTGCTCACAGTCACACCTGCGCTGCCTCCCGCTCGCGGTTCCACTGCTCAATCTTCGCCCTCCGCTCCTCGCTGCCTTCCCTCAACGGGCTCCTGCTCCGGCTCCTCGACCGCCCGCGCCGACGGCGGCTCCCGTCGCTGTCGTGGCTGCGGTGTCTCTCGCTGCTCCTGCGGCTGACGCTACGGTAATTGTAGTAGTAATAGTCGTGGTCATCGTCGCGGTCCCTGGACCTGGACGAGCTACCGCGGCGGCGGTACGGGCTCGGGCTGCGGCTGCCCCGGCTGTGGCTCCGGTGGGAGCGATGCAGGTGGCCGAACAGCTTCCGCCGCAGGTCGCGGCCGACCTGCTTGACGTGCATGAAGTTGCAGTATCCGCCGCGGTTGCAGCTGTGCTCCTCGAACTGACGGCAGGTGGCCTCCCGGAAGTCCGTCACCGGCGAGAACTCGGCGATGATGGGGCGGCCCGAGTAGTAGCGGCCCTGCAGCGCCTGCAGGGCGCGGGCCGCCTGCTCCTCCTCGCGGAACTGCACGTACACGTTCCCGATCATGTGGTCCGCGAGGTTGTCGCAGACGTGGAGGCTCTCGATCTCGCCGTGCTTGCTCAGCTCCTCGAAGATGTCCTCGTAGAAGTCCTCGAAGTCCTCCTGGATCCGCTCCGGGTCGATGGGGTTGCCCTGCGCGTCCACGCCCGGGGTGATCATGTCCGGCCGCTGGTACATATTGCACAGCAGCAGCGTCGGGGAGATGGACGGCTTGTTGTGCAGGCGAGAGCACCGGTCGCCGTGGCGGCACGCGCCGATCTTGAAGTAGAAGGGGCAGTTCACGCGGTCCTTCTCCGTGCCAAAGATGGACGCGAGATGCTCAGCCATGGGTGCCTGATTCCACCTCTACCTGCTCGACTCGATTCGTCGCCTAGAGATTTCTGTGGTTTCAATTCAAAGGTCAGGAATTACAGGCACACAATATGCAACAGCTAGGATTGACAAACAAATAATAATAATCCAATAAGCCCATGAACTCGCTAGGTAACAGCATCAGGGATCTGAATTTTTCCCGGAGAAGAAACCTTCAAAATAGCAGCCGCTTCAATTTCGAGTAAAAGAAATTTGACGGAAATAAAACTAATCTTATCCTTTATGCGTCGATTTGTAGCGGAAGATCCAACATCTTCCGACCTGATAAGAATCGACAGAGAAAGTATCATTCCATGGGGAAACAAATGGACACGGTATATGTCGCAGCAGGCGCAATCCGATCCTAAACCCGATACGCACGTACATCCAGACATCTCTAATACGCCGCGCCATAGATAGGGGAGAGGAGGTTTACCTGTTTACCGGAGAGCAGCGCCGCCGTAGCCGGAGCCCGGGGCAAGCAGATGAGTACGGACCCGCTGGATTTGGTGGATGCTTCGAATCGCGTCTAGAAGCGCATATAAGGGCTGTGAATGAAGCTTCATCCGGCTGCTAATTTCCAATCGGACGGTCCTGATTGGTGACACTGGTGGTTACTAGAACCTTCCACAGAGCGTGGGCTCGTGAAGCCCATGTCGGACCAGCATGAAATGGACTGGACTTGCATTTTTGTAATTCCAGCCCACGCCATTCTCCTCTAACAAAGAGAAAGTTGGAGTGAGACAGCCAGGGTCCAGGGGCTTTATCGGCGAGGGTACAAGAATGAGAGAACACAAAACATTGATTGGTCCTCAATCAAAAAGGAAATGAATTCACACAAAAAAAAGAAATGATTGTTTTGGCCCTCCTCCTTTACTACTATCAGGAGCCGATAACAGGGAGAGATTGTTATTTTTAGAAAAATGGAATCTTTATTTTAAACTAGGCATAAGTTATGCAATCAATCAAATCAAATAGAATTAAAAGTTGAAATTACCATTTAAAATATGACTAAAGACAATCTTATCAACCGTAAGCGGAAAGGTGTTGAAAGTTGTTTGCTTTTTTTACTTCATCAGTTCTGAATTGTAGTTCACTTACCTTTATTTTAAGTCAATCTTTTTCTAATTTATGTTAAGTTTTTTAGGCAAATATATTAACACCTATAAGTATAAATAAATGATCTATCAAGATATATTTAGTGAATAATTTAATATTACATTATAGATATTAATGTAATTTTATATAAATTTGTTCAAAATTAGGGAAGTTGGACGTAGGACAAAGAAGTGAACTAAATTTGGAACTAGCAAATAGGCCACTCAACACATGTTCTTTGACAATCATGTGGTACACTCCATTTGGAGAGTGGTTGAAGCTGTGTTTGTTTCACATGGGGCACGCATGTTCTAATTCATTTTGTCTATCTGGTTGAACCAAAATAGGGTGGTTAAAAAAGGACACTATAATCCTATTTGATGATCATTTTCAGGGCTATATATATTAGACTCGCATTTGGTTCATCATTTTCAAACGAGAATGGTATTAGACCAAGATTGAGGTGGGTGTGTCATATGCTGCAGAGCACCTTTGAAGACAATCGACTCTTCGTCATGCCCATAGACATAGGTAACAGGCTTTGCCCTTAGTTTGTTGGTTGAGACGAGGGTTTGTCTCCTTTTGCTTGATTGTTTTATTTATGAGAGGTTGGTTTGTTAAAAAATAAATAAACAGATCTCTAACCGGCAACGTACGTGAATACAGGCACGATGTTCGATGGCGCACGCCCCACGTTCTGCGGGCAGTCAAATTGACCCACCACAAACAAACCCGCCAGGCCGCAATAGGAGAGGAGCAAGAAAATTCAGAGTTCGAGCACGCTGCACGCCGTGACGCAGGTAGGTGACGAGCGACTCCGAGGCAAAGGCGGCCACGGAACCAGCCAGCCCGCCGCCGGCAATCGCAGCCGCGGCCGCTACCAGCTCTATATCTCGATCACAGCTTCGTGGACTCGCGGTCCGGGCAACGCAATTCCGATCAGAAGAGTGGGAGCGCCGGAGAGGGAGAGGGAGAGGGAGCGCTCCCCTTGTCCCTTCTCCCCATTGGACATTGTCTAGCTCGGCGCGGCTGTTCCTGGATCGCGTTATGAAGTCTGACGCTGTTCTTGAGCGATATATGAGCGCTCGCATTCCCTCCTCTATCAGGATCAGCAGGTCCAGAGGATCCCGATAGGTTCTTGAAATCTCGTACTCAGTTCCGTTCAATCATCGGGATTTTCTACAGCCTTTGCGGGATTCAATGTGGGCGTGTCTCTCTGGACCAGTGTGCTGTTAAACGCAGGTAGGTAGCGTAGCCAGTACTAAACTGAAACCCCACGGCTCGATTTGGATGGGCTTCAGGGTTTATTTGCGTTTCTCGTAAGAAGCACAGAGCAAGCCAGCGCTTAGCTTGTCAGATACACGTTTGGATGCCGGCCTCAGAGTGCAAGGCCAATATTGGTCGTTGACAGCATGCAAACCTACCGTTTAGAATTTGGATGGTAGCCAACCTTTTCTTCGTACTCTTCGTGGGTGGAATCCTTCAAGAGGGGAGAAGCCAGAGTCACAAAGTTTATGGGACGATTGGGTCGTGGAACAGGATCGATCGAGGAACGTGATACGTCTCAGTAGATGATTTTTCACTGTGGGAGCGAGATTGTTTCACGTCGCATTTCTAGGGCATTGGAATCGTGGGGCACATGGCACCGTACCATGTTTCCATTGACACTGGCAGAAGCATACATCTCGCAGTTGTTTGACATAGTATCTAGGATCCGGTCTTGACTTAGACCCGGTTTGGACCTACCAGCTAATTATTAGCTGTGTTAGCTAGGAGAAACCAACTAATTGTTAGCTGGTGGTAGGTAAGACATTAGCTAGACTTATTAACTGAGGATCCAGACAGGTCCTCGGCTATTTTTAGCAGGTAACTATTAATTGTAGGGATCTAAATTCCAAACATACCCTTATAAATGACTCCAACGTTTGAAAGGCTTTGGTGTCCCTACTTTTCTTGATTGTGGGGGAGATAATAGTTTGAATTTTGTGACTTAAGAGAGTGGAGAGAGCACTAGTCTCTGGTTTTATTGGATAAAGAAAACTTTTGGGTCTAATGTATTTTTTTTATTAGAACTTTTGCAACTTTTCACATAGGTTTATTGTTTTGCTTGTTTTTTTTTGTATGGTCTGTTTGTTGATAATGCACCATCTCTCGGACCGTCTTAACTTTCTACGGTTAAAAGTTCATCAGAATGTTGTAAATTAAACCAAATACTCACATCAAACTTAAAGATTATGTTGCTTAGTACTTTTGCCTATTATAATCTTGTATCAAGTACTTCACGCAAATTTTATGATTCATTTCAGGATAAGAAGCATTGCATAATTTGAATCCTCAAAGTGAAATATGGATCTCGTAGAACTCTTCGTCACAGCATGTGTTCCGGTCTTTAACATGCTTCTGGTAGCCGGTGTTGGGTCGTTTTTAGCAACTGATTTTGCTGGCATACTAAGCAAAGAAGCAAGAAAACATTTAAATAATGTAAGTAATGTAAAAGACTGCACGAAAACAGTAATTGATCTAAACAAAGAGTTTTAACATATTGTGTCATGATTTTATCTTATTAATACTGGCCACTGGCCACAGCATCTTTTTTTCTAAAGTTTCTATATCTTTCTTTTCTCTTCAGGTAGTATTTTATGTATTCAGTCCCTCCCTTGTTGCAATCTATTTGGCAAAAACAATCACCATGGAAAGCTTAGCTAAACTGTGAGTATTCAACAATGGCAATTAAGTGGCTAAATGCTAACTTAACTATCTAGCGCATCCAAACACTTTTAGTGTATTGTTATAATGAGAAATAAATAAGAGGATTACTTATTTTCCCTAATTCAGGTGGTTTTTGCCAGTAAATGTTCTTCTTGGTTTTAGCTTTGGTTTATTCTTTGGATGGATTGTGGTAAGAGTTACAAGAGCACCTGCCAAGTTAAGAGGCCTCATTTTGGGTTGTTGTTCTGCTGGTAACTAAGTGTACTTATACACCTTTTTTGCAATTATTAGTAATTAATGATTAAACTTCAATTTTTAGATAAACATAGTGCAGAACCTTCAAATGCTTATTGCTATCTCAGATAGGCTATATGCGTGTCTATTTGCTCTAGATTTCGGTGCTTTGTGAAGGAGCAATTATTCCCATGGCTCTAGTTCATATTTGAAGGGAGTGGCTCTAGATCAGATTGGATGTGCAGAGTAGAACTTACTTCGTAAATATACATTCTTTATTTACCCACTTCATTCCTTTGAAAATCTTACAAACATTCAACTTGAAGCTAGTTAGAACGATCCTAGTAAATAGTCAAGTAAGGAATCAAGATACGAGTGAAAAGGACAACTGAAGAATCAAGTTTCGTTGTCAAAAAACTTATGTTTTGCTGGTAGATACAAGCTTCCGAACACTAGCTAGTGCTCCCTCCATTCTAAACTGTAGAATATTTTAGCTTTTCTAGATACATAGACTTTGCTACATGCACTTAGATATATATTATGTCTAACAACGCAGCTAGAAAGCTAATTTGGAACGGAGGGAGTAGAACCAAATCAAAAGCAAGAATCACCAAAATATTTATTGTTATCTTACAAAAGTCACCATCTTTAAACTTTATACAGTGCGGCAGGGGCCAGCCACTACTGGAAAAGCCTGATAGCCAAAGCTGATGCAAGCTAGTTTCACAATTAGTAGTATCTTGTACATGTCAAGATAACCTTCGTTACTTGAATCTAGAAGCCAAAACGAGCTAGTTTATTACCGGATCAGCAATTCTAAGGCTCTTTCTCTGAATATTGACCCTGATTAGACATGCATAAAAATGAACTTAGTCTAACACTCATATTTTGCCCTTTCTTATATTTTCAAAAACTGTTGTCAACTTGCTGGGTGAAATGCAGGCAATTTGGGCAATATTTTTCTCATTATCATTCCAGCTCTTTGCAAAGAGAAAGGAAGCCCATTTGGAGCACCTGATGTTTGTCAGAATATTGGACTAGCATATTCTTCACTCTCAATGGCTGTAAGTCAATTGTTGCTTGAGTATTTAGTATATTTCCATTTTTGTAAGCCTGCTTATGCTTGTAATCAGTTGCAAAACTCAGTCACTAATGTGAATGGCGTGCTACAGATCGGTGCTATTTTCCTATGGTCTATTGTGTATAATATTGTTCGAGTCACATCAAACGTGACGCAAGGAGATGACAATGCTCAAACAAATGAAACGAAAGTGTTAAATTCAGGAAATGCTACAGGAACTATTGCAGAAGAGAACTGCTCCACCTCAAATGATTGCACCAATGAATGTACACTCCCTTTGTTATCGACGAGAATGGTTCCAGCTAAAAATAAGGTTTGTCAAGGCTGAAAGATTTTTCTTCCACAAGTTGCACTGCTCTATATGTTCTACAGTTTTGCTTGCTTGGGGCACTATAAGATTTAAAGTTGTGTAGGAACCAATGTTGGAGAGAGCACGAAAGTTCTTATCATCAATTTCTGAAGCAGTTGACTTGAAGAAACTCTTTGCTCCTTCAACCATTGCAGTGGTACACTGGTTTGATGAGCTATTAACTCTATTTTATTATCATATCATGTTTATTTTTTAACCGAAACCCAATGGTAATTGCTGCGATCACTATATCCGCAAGATATCTCTGCAACATTAAAATCGCAAAAGAAGGCCATTTTGTTTGATCCCTTGTCTGTACCGCTTTCAACATAATGAGGCAATCCCTATGGAACTTTTGTAGATTGTCGGCTTCATAATTGGAGGAACACCTCTGATCAGAAATGCTATAATTGGCGACAACGCTCCACTTCGTGTCCTACAGGAATCGTCTGAATTGATAGGGTATATATAGTTCTACACTTCTTAACTTTGTGAACATACTTGGTCCCCTTGATTAGTTAAATTTTGTTATCTTTTTTTTTAATCCTGTTGTGTTATGAGCCGTACTTTTTCAGCAAAGAAACATTGTTTTTCTCTTATAACAAATCAGCGAACAGTACTTTTCAGTTTGTCTTTCAGCGAAGCGAACAGGGCCACCCCTTACCTCTAGGTAGTTCCTAGTCTGGATATCTAATCAGTTTCATGGGTTGTGCCCTGTACAGTGGAGGAGCAATTCCATCCATCACATTGATAATGGGAGCAAACCTTCTGAACGGTAACTTTGCTTTGCTCTGATCACAAGCAATAGTACCATGCATGCATATAATGTTGTGTTATCTTTAACTGTCATATTATGACAAAGAAAACACATAAATCAAATCTGATGAGCACAAGCATGCATGATGCACGAAACTCTTATTACCAGGAGTACGGGGCAGGGCAAGTGTTCCACCGTCGGTGATAGCCGGCGTCATAGTTGTGAGATACATTCTGCTCCCGCTGCTCGGCACCGCGCTGGTGAAGGGAGCAGTCCGGCTGGGCCTCATCCAGCCAGACCCCCTGTACCAGTTCATCCTCCATCTGCAGTATGCCGTGCCACCCGCATTGAACATCGGTAATATAATAATGCACCCCCTGCGTAGCCTGGTAGTTTTATTTTTGAAGATATTATGCGTGCTCGTCTGCTCGAGATGGGGCAAAAAAAAAAAAGGTCGTAGCAAGTGAAGTGGGTGCTGTATCTTTTTTCCAGGGACTATAATGCAGCTGTTTGGCGTCGGGGAGAGCGAGTGCTCGGTGATCTTCGTCTGGGTGTACGCGCTCGCCACCGTCGCCGTGACCATCTGGTCCGCCTTCTTCATGTGGATGCTGTCGTGAGCCCGCGTCAGTAGTCAGGACACACGAGGCCGGAAATGTTGTATTGTTAAAAATTTGGAAAATGGAATTGAAACACCTCTACTTTGGCCACCGGAGAGAACTGGCGGCGTCGATTGGCAGGAAGCACGAGCACGGCAGTGCTTCCTGCCCGCCGCTCCGCACGCTTCAGGCACTCGGGTCGGAGACACTGCAGCCGGTACCCTGCACTCCTCCTGCAGGCAGCGCCTTGCCGTCCCGTGCCATCCCCTCTAGGCCTCTACACCGCACGCAGGCCGTGGCAGGAACGCATGGCCGCGCCGTGATCTCTGTCCATCGCCTCGGGCACGGCAGTGGCGGAGTGTCCCCGCGGCTGGACTGGACAATATGCCCGTGCCCGTACCGGCTCCGGCGCTCCGCCATGCTTGCGCCCCGGCCGCACGGGAACGTGACGCCGCGTTGTGGGTTGCTTCACGCAGAACGCGGCTCGCGTTTTTTTGCCTCTGCGTGAGAATGGCGGCCCAGCCCAATACCCTCCTCTTTCTCTTGTTTAATTTTTTTCCTTTTTCTTTTCTTCTTTTTCACGGAAGGAGTACGGGACGGCCGGACGGACAGGAACAACCGATGCGAGTCGGACTCGGACACTGGCCACGCGTGCTGCCGGCCCGGGGAGAATTTTATTTTCCTAATCTTTTTTATTCAATATTTCAATAATAATCACTCCTAAAATTTTTTTACAGATTTGATCCTTTTAGCGTTGTCGTTAGACGGCGTTTTCGATGTGGAAAACGCTGTCACGCCACCGGGGCATGACAAGACAACACCTTTGAAAAATCATAACTCTTTGATACGATATCGAATGAAGACGAAATTTATATGAAAATTGTAACTTATAATGAGATTTACAACTTTTTAGTTTTGAGTTTTTTCATTTAAGAACATTAAGATGCTCAAAAAATAACATAAAATTTTAGGAGTATAATAACCACGTACAAGTGCTTGTCGCATTAGAAAAATAATATTATTTTTATATGTTATCAAATGAAGATATTTTTTACATGAAAGTTGTAGCTCTCAATGAGATCTATAACTTTTTAGTTTTAAGTTTTTATATTTAAGATAGTTAAGATACACGAGAAAATAATATAAAATTTCAGTAACATAATAATCTCGTACTAATATGGTGTCAAAAGAAGATACATTTTATATCAAAATTGTAGCCTTTAGTGAGATTTACAAGTTTATAGTTTTGAATTTTTATATTTGCGGTCGTCAACCTACTCTAAAAACTAATATAAAGTTTTTGCAACGTATTAACCATGTATCGAAACTTATCTTTTTATAAAAATCGTATATTTCTTATTTGATGTCACATAGAAATACCTTTTAAATAAAATTTGTAGATCTCATTGAGAGCTCAACTTTGATATAAAAAATACCTTCATTTGACATGATATAAAAATGATATTATTTTTCTAATACGATAAGCGTTAGTACACGATTATTATGCTACTGAAATTTTATATTATTTTTTTGAATATCTTAACAACTCTAAATGTGAAAACTCAAAACTATAAAGTTATAGATCTTATTGAGAGCTACAATTTTAATGTAAAATATATTTTCATTTGACACCATATGGAAAAGATATTATTTATCTAATGCGACAAGCACCGGTATGTGGTTATTATAAAATTTTATATTATTTTTTGAGCATCGTAACGTCCTCAAATGAAAAAATTCAAAACACAAAATTGTAGATCTCATCGAGATCTATAATTTTCATATAAATTTTATCTTCATTCGATATCGTATCAAAAAGTTATAATTTTTCAAAGATTTAGAGAAGGTGGCGTGACAAAACAATATTGTCACGTCAGCGGGAGTGGCGTGACAGCGTTACGTGACAGTGTTTTTCATATCGGAAACGCCGTCTAACGTGGCGGATGTTGCCGCGTCAGCATATGTGACGCAACAACGTTATTTGGTCTCGGAAACGCCATCTAACGTGACGGATGTTGCCGCGCCAATGTTTATGACGCAACAACGTTATTTGGTCACACCAAGGTCAGATCCGAAAAAAATTTAGGAGCTATTATTATTGATATATTGAATAAAAAAAGATTTAAAAAATCTCCGCCAGGAGTAGGACGACGTCGTGCCCCAGGCTTATCCTGGCCACAGGAAGGCGTTAAGATTCATGCGGCTCGGAACTGGCGTCTGCGAGGTGGGGACGCAGAGGCCGGGGACGCGGTGAAGGACGAGGTGGTCATTGGGCGACGGGGCACGGTGAAGGACGAGGTGGTCCGAGCTGGCACGGTGGATGCGAGTATGCCCGGGGCCGGAGCCGGGGGTGGCGACTGGGTGCGTCGGAGGACGGCGCGGCGGAGACCGGGGCCGGAGCTGTCGCGGTGGCGGCGTCGGAGGCCGGGGCTAGAGCCGGAGCTGGGGGCTGCGGAGGTCTGGGCGACGTCGGCACGACGGAGGAAGGGGCCGGCGCCGAAGCTGGGGGCGGAGGAGGCCGGGGCGGACGAGGTGGCCGCAGACGCAGCAATGGCGACGATCGGCGCTGTGCGAAATGCTGGAGAGAGATGGATGGATGAAAAAAATCTATTCACTAGTGGGACCCATGAAGAACCGACGGCCAGGATAAGCCGTGCGGCCACATATGCGTGCGGGCGTGCCTTTCCGTCCTGCAGCGCGTTCGTGCCTTGTTTATTGGAAGTTGTTGCTTTTACTTCTTCATCATTTCCGCATTGCAATTCACTAATTTTTCTAATTTATGTGAAGTGTTTATAAAAATATATTGACACCTATAAGTATAAATAAATGGACTATCAACATATATTTATTCAAGGGTAAAGTACACTTTCCAACCCTCAACTCATGCCAAAGCTCGATTTTCAACCTTCAATTATCAAACCGGTTAACAAACACCTTCAACTATCAAAACCGAACAAATTTGGTCATCGGCTGATTTCAAAAGCGGTTTTCTATTTTAGGGAGACGACGAAATTTTATATTATTTTTTTAAGCATCTTAATGTCCTCAAATGAAAAAACTCAAAACTACAAAGTTGTAGATCTCATTGAGAGCTACAACTTTGGTATAAAAAATATTTTCATTTACTCCATACAAATAATATATTAGTGCTCCAACACGACGAGCGCCAGTAGACGATTATTATGATGCTGAAATTTTATATTATTTTTTTGAGCATCTTATTGTCCTCAAATGAAAAAAATTAAAACTATAAAATTGTAGATCTCATCGAGGTCTATTATTTACATATAAAATTATCTTCATCCGACATCGTATTGAAGGGTTTTTATTTTTGAAATTTAAGTCTCGTTACGTGACAAAACAATAATGTGGCCCACCGCATTATCAAGTTGTTTCACTGGTTCTGATCGACAAAACCGAGGCAAAGGCGGCCACGGAACCAGCCAACCCGCCGTAGGCAACAATCGCCCCGTTGGCCCACCGCCGCGGCCGCCACCAGCTACATATATGTCCATCACAGCCGCCTCGCGGTCAATTCCGATCAGAAGAGTGGGAGTCTGGGAGAGGGAGGGAGCACTCCACTCCCCTTCGGTCCTCACCGCGTTGGACGTCGTCTCGGCGCTGTTGCTGAGGTACGTCCTGGATCGCGTTACCAACTCTGACGCTGTTCTTGAGCGCTCTCTTTCCCCTCCTCTATCAGTACCATGGTCCAAAGGATCCCACCTATCACCTATGTTCAGCTGGATGGTCCAGAGGATCCCAGCTATATATGTTCTTGAAATCTCGGTACTTCTCGTTCAGTTTCGTTCAATCATAGGGACTTTCTACAGTTCGTGCGAGATTCAATACTAGCGCCTCTCTCGGTCAGTGTGCTGTTAATCACAGGTTGTTAGCAGGCCTCGTTCGCTTGAACTTATCAGCCGTACCGTTTTAGTGAAATAACAATCGCTCTGTTCGTTTGGGCTTATTTGGCTGATAAACCATAGTTAAAAGTATTGTTGGCTGATTTGTTATGAGAGAAAAATACTGTTCGTTAACTGAAAAGTACGACTTATAAACCAAATAAAACCAAACAAACCGGACGAATATTTTTCTCAAACAAACCAGCACCTGCATGAGCGTAAGCCGTTTTTCCAGCTAGTACCGAACTGAAAGTCTGAAACCCCACTCGATCTGGATGGGTGCTTTATGGTTTTAATATTTTTTGAGACAGCTTTATGGTGTTTTTTTTACGAATGACAGCTTTATGGTTTTAATATTTGCGCTTCTCGTGAGCCTCTCAGATACTGTCAATATTGAATAGCCGATGACCTATTTGGATCCATATATGACTAATATTTGCGCTTCTCTTGACAGCTTTAACTTTTGGATGCCGGCCTCAGGCTGCCAGGCCAAATATTGGACGTTGACAGCATGCAAACCTACCCGTTTGGAATTTGCACGGTAGCCAAACTTTGGCTGGCCCAGCTCAGACGTAGGCGGCGTAGTTTATTTTTGTGACCAGTCTCCGGCCGATTCCATCCTGGGCAGCAGATTTTTGCGCCGAAATTTGCCCAGCCCAAGCTTTAGCACGAACTACCGTCAGCAATCAAATGTGCACTAAGGCCTTTCTCTTCTTGGTACTCTTCGTACTCGCACAGTCGCGCTTGTTTGACATAGGGCGCGCTTGGTTCCAGCGAGACATCGCCTCGCCTCGCCCGTGCCAGCGTATGTAGGAAACGAGCTGAGGACCTTGCCCGCTCGGGCGAGCCGATCCGGCTCTCCTACACGAGCAAGGCAAACGTCGCCAGCGCAGTCCCCGAGAAGTTTGAGCAAGAGAAGCAAACGCCCATCTGTCCTCGCTATTTCCGGTCGGTGAGGCGACACAGTGCCGAGCGAATGATCCAAGCGCGCCCATAGTATCTGGGAACCCTGTTTTGATTTAGGTCCTATTTGAATTTACCCAGTTAACTATTAGTTATGTTAGCTAGAAAAAAATCAGCTAATAGCTAATTATTAGTTGTGTGGTAGGTAAGACATTAGCTAAATTTATTAGCTAAAGATCCAAATAAGTCATCAGCTATTTTTTAGCAAGTAACTAAATTATTCGTAGGGGTCCAAATAGGCCCTTATAATATGGCTCCAACGTTTAAAAGGCTTTGGTGTTCTTTCTTTTCTTTTCTTTTCTTTTTTGTGAATGGTGTTCTTTCTTTTCTTGATTGTGGGGGAGCTGATAGTTTGAGTTTTGTGACATAGGAGAGTAGAGAGAGCACTGGTGTCTTCTTTTTTTTTGATAAAGGGAACTTTTGGGTTTATTCTATTTTTTATTTGAACTTTTACAACTTTTCACATACGTTCACTGTTTTGTTCGTTTTTGTTTGTATGGCTGTTTGTTGATAAAAATACTATCTCTCAAACCGTCTTAGCTTTGTACGGTTAAAAGTTCGTCAAAGTGTTGTAAATTTAACTAAATGCTCACATCAAACTTAAAGATTATGTTGGGTAGTACTTATGCCTATTATAATTATCCATCAAGTACTTCACACAAACTTTATGATTCATTTCAGGATAAGAAGCATTGCATAATTTGGAACCCTCAAAGTGGATTATGGGTCTCGTAGAACTATTTGTCACGGCATGTGTCCCGGTCTTTAACATGCTTCTGGTAACCGGTGTTGGGTCGTTTTTAGCAACTGATTTTGCTGGCATACTAAGCAAAGAAGCAAGAAAACATTTAAACAATGTAAGTAATGTAAGAGGCTGCACAAAAGCAGCATTTTATTAGTTGATCTACAGCAAAGAGTTTTAACATATTGTGTCATAATTTTATCTTATTAATACTGGCCACGGGCCACAGCATCTAAAGTTTTCTATATCTTTTTTATCTTCAGATAGTATTTTATGTATTCAATCCCTCCCTTGTTGCAATCTATTTGGCAAAAACAATCACCATGGAAAGCTTGGCTAAACTGTGAGTATTCAATAATGGCAATTAAGTGGCTAAATGCTACCCTGACTATCTGGCGTATCCAAATACTTTTTGTGTATTATTATAATTGTTAATGAGAAATAAATAAGAGGATTACTTATTTCCCCTAATTCAGGTGGTTTATGCCAGTAAATATTCTTCTTGCTTTTACCTTTGGTTTATTCTTTGGATGGATTGTGGTAAAAGTTACAAGAGCACCTGCGAAGCTAAGAGGCCTCATTTTGGGCTGTTGTTCTGCTGGTAACTAAGTGTACTTATACACCTTTTTTGCAATTATCAGTAAATAATGATTAAACTTCAGATTTTAGATAAACATAGCGCAGAACCTTCAAATGCTTATTATTGCTATCTCAGATAGGCTAGATGCATGTCTATTTGCTCTAGGTTTTAGTGCTTTGTGAAGGAGCAATTATTCCCATGGCTCTGGTTCATATTGAAGGGAATGGATCTAGTTCAGATTGGCTATGCAGAGCAGAACTTACTTCGGAAATATACATTCTTTATTTACCCAATCCTTTGAAAAACTTATAGGCATTCAGCTTGAAGCTAGTCAGAGTGATACTAGTAAATAGTCCAGCAAGGAAGCAAGATACAAGTGAAAAGGGACAACTGAAGAATCAAGTTTCGTTGTCAAAAAACTTATGTTTTGCTATTAGATACAAGCTTCCGAACACTAGCTAGTACTCATTCCAATTTTTAAGACGATTTGGCTTTTCTAGATATATATAGATTTTGCTATTCACTTAAATATAAATTATATCCAATAATATATTTAGAAAAGCCAAAATGTCTTACAATTTGGAACAGAGGGAGCAGAATGAAATAAAAAGCAACAACAACCAAAATATTTTTTGTTATCTTACAAAAGTCACCGTCTTTATAGTTTAGTGCGGCAGGACCAGCCAAAACTGGAAATCCTGATTGCCAAAGTTGATGCAAGTTTAGATTCAGAAAATATTTTTTGTTATCTTACAAAAGTCACCGTCTGTATAGTTTATACAGTGTGGTAGGGACCAGCCACTACTGGTAACCCTGATAGCCAAAGCTGATGCAAGTTTAGTTTCACAATTAGTAGTATCTTGTACATGTCAAGACAACCTTCGTTACTTGATATCTAGAAGCCAAAATAAGCTATTTTATTACCGGATCAGCAATTCTAAGGCTCTTTCTCTGAATATTTTGTCTGCTCTTATCTATGTAATGTTATGGCGTTATTAAGATATTTAACCCTGATTAGACACAAAAATCAACTGGTCATTAACAGTGAAATAGGACGGATTTAGTACAACCCATATTTTGTCATTTCCTTATCTTTTTCAAAAACTGTTGTCAACTTGCTGGTCGAATGCAGGCAATTTGGGCAATATTTTTCTCATCATCATTCCAGCTCTTTGCAAAGAGAAAGCAAGCCCGTTTGGAGCACCTGATGTTTGTCAGGGTATTGGACTAGCATATTCTTCACTCTCAATGGCTGTAAGTCAATTTCTACTCTAGTATTTAGTATAATTTCCAGTTCTTGTAAGCCTGCTTATATGCTTGTAATAAGTTGCAAGACTCAGTCACTAACGATAATGTGAGTGGCTTGCTGCAGATCGGTGCTGTTTTCCTGTGGTCGATTGTGTATAACATTGTTCGTGTCACATCAAACGTGACGGAAGGAGATGAAAATGCTCAAACAAATGAAACGAAAGTGTTAAATTCAGGAAATGCTACAGGAACTATTGCAGAAGAGAACTGCTCCACCTCAAATGGTTGCACCGATGAATGTACGCTCCCTTTGTTATCGACGAGAATAGTTCCAGCTAAAGATAAGGTTTGTCAATGCTGAAAGATCTTTCTTCCAAAGATCTTCCACAAGTTGCACTACTCTATATGTTCTACAGTTTTGCTTGATTGCTTGCGGCACTATATAAGATTTAAAATCGTGTAGGCTTCAATGTTGGAGAGAGCACGGAAGGTTTTGTCATCGATTTCTGAAGCAGTTGACTTGAAGAGGCTCTTTGCTCCTTCAACCATTGCAGTGGTACACTGGTTTGATGCGCTATTATTATCATGTTTATTTTTCACTGAAACCTGATGATAATTGCTGCGATCACTATTATATTCACAAGATATCTCTGCAACCTTTAAATCGAAAAAGAAGGCCATTTTGTTTGATCGCTTGTCTCTACTGATTTGAACATAATGATACAATGTATGGATCTTTTGTAGATTGTCGGTTTCATAATTGGAGGAACACCTCTGATTAGAAATGCTATAATTGGCGATAGCGCTCCACTTCGTGTCCTGCAGGAATCGACTGAATTGATAGGGTATAGTTCTACACTTTCTTAACTTTGTCAATATACCTGGTCCTCTTGATCAGTTAATTTTGTTGTCCTTTTTTGTCGATCCAGTTGTGTTCATAGTGTGCATATCTAATCATTTTCATGGGTTATGTCTTGAACAGTGGAGGAGCAATTCCATCCGTCACATTGATAATGGGAGCAAACCTTCTGAACGGTAACCCTTTGCTCTGATCACAAACAACAGTATCATGCATATAAATATAATGCTGAAAAACACATAAACTGAATCTGATGAGCACAAGCAAGAATGACGCGTGAAACTCTTATTACCAGGAGTACGAGGCGGTGCAAGTGTTCCACCGTCGGTGATAGCCGGCGTCATAGTTGTCAGATACATTCTGCTCCCGCTGCTCGGCACGGCGCTGGTGAAGGGAGCCGTCCGGCTGGGCCTCATCCAGCCAGATCCCCTGTACCAGTTCATCCTCCATCTGCAGTACGCCGTGCCACCCGCGATGAACATCGGTAATATGATGATGGAACATAGCAGTCATTTTATTTTCGCAGTTATTATGCGTGTTGGAGATGAGAAAAAAAATTATCGTCGTAGCAAGTGAAGTGGATGCTGTATTTTTTTTTTTCAGGGACTATAATGCAGCTGTTTGGCGTCGGGGAGAGCGAGTGCTCGGTGATCTTCGTGTGGGTGTACGCGCTCGCCTCCGTCGCCGTCACCATCTGGTCCGCCTTCTTCATGTGGACGCTGTCGTGAGCTCGCGGCAGGACACGCGAGGCCGGAAATGTTGTATTGAATCGATACAGTTAGAAATTTGGAAAATGGAATAAAAACGCCTCTGGTTTGGCCACCAGATAGAACTGGCGGCGTCGATCGGCAAGAAGCACGTGCACGGCCGTGTCCTCCCTGCCCGCCACTCCGCACGCTTCAGGCACTCAGGTCGGAGACAACTGCAGCTGGTACCCTGCACTCCTGCAGGCGACCCGTGCCATCCCCTCTACGTTGCACGCCCGCACGCCTAGGGACCCGCCCGTGTTTAACTCCGCCGCACGCAGGCAGGCCGCGCTGACGTGTGGCCACACGGGCTATCCTAGCAGGTAGAGGGCGTCAAGATTCGTGTGCAGGGGCTAGGGGGAGAACCGGAGAAGGCCAATGTCGGTGGGGGCAGTGGCCGACGACTGGGGACGGCGGAAAGGGGTCGACGGGCGGCAACAGGGTGGGGGGTTGGCGGCCTAGGGCGAAGGACGCCGAGGGGCGGAGCTGGAGGTGCCAGGGTGCGGCCAGACCGCCATAGACGGGGGCGACGGAGGCTGGGGCCAGCGACTGGCGCGGCGAAGACTGGGGCGACGCCGGCGCGGTGTCAGAGCTGCAGCTGCCGAGTGGGGGCGGCGTTGGCTTGGGGAAACGAGGCCATAGGCGGCAGCGGCAGCAACAGAGGGGAGAGAAGGGATGCTTGAAGATTTCGTGTTCCAGAGTTGAAGAATGGCTGAGATAAGCCGGCCACATATATCGGTCGCGCCCCATATTTTGCGCAAGTACATGGGACTGTAGGAGTGGGAATGGGACGCCCAGACATCACAGAACGATAATACTTGGCCATGGTCGCCCGTCCCGTCCGGATGCGGCTCCACTCGTCCGCTCGGCCGCTCTCTCTCTCTCTCAAATAAAAAATCCCATGCGCTTATCCTTCCGCTCCTCCACTCATCCACTATGGTGCGCTCTCTCAAAAAAAAACTCCACTGCGCTTATCCTTTCTGTCCAAATCTGTGTCATCCTCTTCCTCATTAGATTCCTCGCCTCCAAGGTCCATTTCTTCCCCGCCCCGGCACCTTCGTCCGCCTCAGGCCCGGGCCCAGTGGCACCTTGTTGCTCGCGGCGGCTTCTCCTGCCAGTCCTTGATGTGGATGCGGATGCGGTGGCGCACCATCTCGTCATCGAGCCACTCTCGCTCAGTCCCCATGCCCCCCTCCTGGTCCATGGTAATGGGCACCTCTCGGGCTCCGCGTCTCGGGGGTGGTGGTGCGAGGATGTGCGGCAGCTTGCGGTTGAGGTTGCGGTTGCCGTCCTCATTCTCCAAAGCTTGCTGGGTACCACAGCCCCCACCAGGTAGGCCATGCTCGCTGGCGACGTCGTGTTTCAAGTGTTTCAGACGTTTCAGACTTATGTTTCAAGTGTTTCATTTGACTGTTGCAAAAGTCGATCTGAGATGTTGCATATATTGCAATGTCAATATATGCATGTTTCAAGCCTATGTTTCAATTGTTTCATGTGTTTCAGACATTTATTTCAAATGTTTAATCTAGATATTTCAAAGTTAATCAGGTGTTGCACAATGTTGTAATGGCTATACATGCATGTTTCAAATGCATGTATCTAGTGTTTCATCTATTTTCAAATATATGTTTGCGTATGTTTCATCTGGACGTTTCAAAAGTAGATCGGGTGTTGCACGGCGCCCATGGATTGGCGGAGAGCAGCCTGCCGCAAGGCTTCAGCTCCTACCTCACGCCTTCCTCGCGCGGCGTACCTCGCCCTCTCCTCTCCCTGCTTTCCCTTCCCGTCCCTCCATCTCGTCATGGCGATATGCTCGACCCTAGCATATGTTGCATCGTCGTCATCGGTAGCTCGGGCGGACGGACGCCACCTCCAGAGTGGGATGCTCGCAGGGCGGAGGAAGCTGCATGGGTTGCGGTAGGGAACGGGGTGCAGGTGCAGATGTCCATTCGGACGTTCGGGCACTAGCACTATTGAAGATAGAACGGGAGCTGAAACATGAAACATGCTGTTGTCATTTATAGCAAGAGTCCGAGGAAGAACAAGTGTTCACCGTCAGTGCTGCTACGTCGGGCCGTTCAAGGGGACTCAGATTCACGCCGTGACTTTATCTCTGCCATCCACCCTCCAATCAAAATCTAAGGGACCAGATTGATTCGCAGCCTAGG